AAAATAACTGTAAGTACACATGAATAAATATGCATGAGCTGATTATGCTTAATTATGATGTCTTACCATAGTCTTATTATCTTATCTTATCTTTCTTACTAATGAGCCCGAGTGCTCGTACCACTTGCGCGCAATCATCGGGGTGTGAGGGTTTGCAAGGTCTTCCATGACACTGTGATTTAACTGAACTGAATGCCTCCCTCTCAGAGGACATTATTATATTTTTTTCCTTCTCCTTTGGGAGCCTGAGTCACCTCCCTCTCAGAGGCTGGTACGGCACTCAACTGAATTTCTTCTTATAAGTTTCTCTTAACTTATTAAGGTGTATGCAACATGACATAACATAGCATACTATAACATGGAATGTACTCAAACACATATAATTCATGTGCACTGCTTAATTGTATGCATCATGACATAGCATCGCATACAATACTTAAAGCATAAACATGCATATATAACATGTGTAACTTTTTTTCTTTAAAATCTATTCATACTATAGGCGAGATTCCTACTTACCGATTTACAGAGCTGGAATCCACTTTTCACCAAACAGCCTATTCTCTTACTTGCTTACTTCTGAAAATGAACACCCATTGAGAGTGTGAGATTATCTATCGTTTGCTCTTCTATTTTAGCAGCTTATGAAGGAAATCTAGCCCTTTACTTAAGGCATGTATTCCTTTCCTTTACTGAAGGATAATTTACTATAAAGATCAATTTATTAAATCCTCAAAATCTTATTTTCCTTAATTGCCCTTAACATACTTATGTCTAGATTGAAAATCATTTACCCAATCTAGTAACTTATTCTCCATAATTTTTCTCATTGGACTTATTATGATATTAAGGCCCAATTCAGCCTAGAAACTTATTCACGGCATTCTAATTCTTAGGCCGTTGAAATTTAAACTTAAACGGGGTCTCTTAAATTAAATGCGGGCGTTGGACCCACATCCAATCTTCGAAATTCTAAGGGCCTATCGTATTGGGCTCGTAGGTGCCCATCGGGATGATTTGTTCGATAAACCACTAAGTTCTTTAAAAGAAATCATTTTTTTTTCTTGAAAACTTTCTTTACAAATACTTCCGTTAAAACAAGGTTTAACAGCATAGTATTTTACTGAAATCAAATCTCGGGTTCTTTGATAACTTTTTGTTAAAACCAATACTGTGTTAGTTTTGTTTTAGTTAAAACTGTGTAGTTTATGTAATCTATATTTTACTATATCTTAGGGTCGGATTTTGAAAACCTGTTCTTCATGACAATTCTTCGTCTCATCGAGATCTAACATTGTCATTTTTAGAGAAAGTTAAAATTCAGCCTCTAAAGGCCTCGTTTGGCTAAAAACAGTGGCTGCTATTTTTTTCTGAGACTGTGTTGGACAGCCTGTCCGTTTTTGTAAAATGGCTTCAAACTTACTTTTAGAGTTAAAGTTGGGTTTTGTCATAGTCACAGAAAACATTCAAAATATCGAGAACTATAAGTTTAAGTTTTGAAACACTGAAAAATCCCGCTCTAGAGTCCTCATTTTCGCATTCAACATAACTGGAAAATTTTACCTCTAACCCAAAATAAGCAACTTAAACCAAACATAAGCATACCACATAATCCTAGTCAAACTAACCTCAAAATACACAAAACTAACATAAAACTCACACACCCTCATTATAACTCATTTCCTCAAGAATCACAAATTACATCCATAAATTCAAGCTTAGAGTTGGCTAGAAAAATAATGGAGAAGAGTTTAAGAAATTACCCTTGAAGAACTCTCTCTTGAAAACCTTTGAACTCCTCTTCTTCTCCTCCAACTTAAGCTAAGATTTATGGTGAGATGTGTGAAAATTTTTGAGTGTATGTGGACTAGAGGAAGGGTCGGTTTTGGTGAGGGAGGGTGGAGAAAATTTTGGGGGCTTGGAATTGGGGTAAATCCGGTTTTGGGGTGGAGAGAAAGAGAAAAGAGAAAAATGAGGCCTAGCTTATGATAGTTCCTTTTATAGACATGTTGGTAAATATTTTTTTTTACACCAATCAACTCCATTAACTCAACTAGATTTTGGGTTCAAATCCTTTAAAGCATGGCCAGTCTTGGTGGAGAAAAGAGAGAATGATATGCCATGATTTTCCCTTCAACTACTACTATCACATCACCTTACCATGAAACCTTCTAGCACACTCAACTAGCCAAGTTTTGCTATGATTTTCCCTATGCATGGCCGGCCAAGTGAAGGAAAGGAGAGAAATTTTTTTATCATAATTACTCTTCACTTACCCCCATCAAATTACATATGTCATGATTTCTTTTCACTAACTCCCATCAAATCACATATGTCATGATTTATCTTCACTTACTCCCATCAAATCACATATGTCATCCTACCTAATCCTAACCTACCCCTTGTACTTTTATCCACTCTCTTAACTTTCCTTTGAAACTGTTAAAAGTTATACTGACTGTAAGGAAGTACTTAGCCGATAGAAAATTCCAATTTCTGATGGTTCCTTTTCTACTGCTTATTTACAGTTCAATATCAGTCCCCGACTACTTCGATATCACATTAAATTCTTACTTGCGTAATATTTTGAACTGTTTCAAGTCTTGAAATTTATTCTAGACTAAACAATTCTAAACTTAAATTTCTACATTATATCCCGGGAATGACATTATTTCTGATAGTGTCAACTCCCGAGCTCACATCGTACCCTTCTACTATAAGTATTTATCTTGTGACTTCAACATAGCTGTCTGGCAATTAAGGATTTTCTCTTCTTTTAAAATGTCAGAGCGTTTTTTTTCATACGCTGCTAACATCATGCTGTGCTTGGAGATTCTTGGAATTAAGATTCTCAAACTACATATGTACTGAAAATTCGTTTGCCTTCAAGTACGGCGAGAATTTATCGATCGAATTACTTGATCGTAAAACATGAACTTAGCATGAAATCTGGTACAAAATTTAGGAATACAGATGTTAATTCCATAAATCCTTCAATCAGAAAATATAACATAGTATTTTCTAGGAAAATCCTTGGCTTAAATACATATATTGTATTATATAAAGTCTGAGATTTTCTCAGTCATTACATCTTTATTGCAAAAATAACATATCTCTGACACTCGATGTCAATCGCCGACTTTGCGGTGGTCGGCACAATCGATTGGAAGCAAGTTTTGAGGTTATTGCAAGCTAGATTTGAGGTTATTTGGCTGGTTGTTTGTTTGTTTTGCTGGATCTTTTGTATTTTTTGCACGTTATTTGGTGATTTTTGTTTGAGTTTGTGAGTTTTAGATTGAGTTTGTTATTTTATGATTTTTGTTCTTTTTTGTTGTGATTTTATGTTACCGGTGAGAGTTTCCAATAGAATCTAAAAGTTTGTGATTTATTTTTTGATTTTGGATTTTAAATATGGTAAATACTATATTTATCAGTAAATACTTCACTGAATTTAAGTTTGAATATGATAAGTATTGTATTTACTAGTAAGTACTTCACTAAATTCAATTTTCAATCTCGTAAATACCATAAATATTTCACTGAATCTAATCACTGAATCTAATTCTTGATCAGGTAAATATTGTAATTACTAGTAAATGCTTTATTGAATTCGATTTTGAATCTGATAAATATTATATTTACCAGTAAATACTTTACTAAATTAGTTTGAATATAGTAAATATGGTATTTATCAGTAGACAGTAAATGTGGTATTTACCGATAAATACAGTATCTACCAATCGTTGGAGCCGGTCACGAATTTTTGAATAAAAATGATAAATATGGTATTTATCGGTAAATACAGTATTTACTAGTCGCCGGAGCTGGTTGTCAGACTTTCGAATATATATGATATTTACCTGTAAATATGATATTTACTAGTCGTTGGAGCTGATCGCTGAATTTTTAAATAAATATGGTATTTGTCAGTAAATATTTTAGTAGTTATAAGTTTGCTACTGGTAAATATTGTAATACCTTTAAATACTTTAGTAACTACAATTTTACATATGGTAAATACTCTATTTACATGTAAACGCTTTAGTAGTTACAATTTAGAATTTACTATATTTACCGGTAAATATGGTATTTACCGGTAAATACAGTATTTAATGGCCGCCGGATTCGGTGGTGGGATTTTCGGATAAATATGATATTTATTAGTAAATACGGTATTTACTGGTAAATACAGTGTTAGACGATCGTCAGAGTCAGTGGTCAAATTTTCAGATAAATATGATATTTACTCGTAAATATGATATTTACTGGTAAATACAGTATTTATTAGTAAATACAGCATTAAACGATCGCCGAAATTGATGCTTGAATTTTTGGATAAATAAGGTATTTACTAATAAATATAGTGTTAAACAGTCATTGAAGTGAGTGGCCGGATTTTAATAAATATGATATATACTAGTAAATATGATATTTACCTGTAATTACAGGATTAAACAGTAACCGGTGTCGGTGATCAACTTTTTTGATAAATATGGCATTTACTAATAAATACGATATTTATCAGTAAATAAATATTTAACAATCGTTGAAAAATAATCACCGAAAAACCGTTGTTGGTCACTAAAAAGTCGTCACAGATTGCCAAAAAATGGTCTCCGTTTACCGGAGCTGGCCGTGGATCCCGACTATGGTGGACTTAACTATAATCTACATATTTTAAAATATATGATATAATTTACTATTTTAAAAAAATAAATATTTAAGGAAATGAGTGAGGTGAACAGTGAGATTTAATAATATTTTTAAATTTGTAATAATATTTAAAACTTAAAATATTAAATAATATTATAATTTATTAATCACTTTACTAATTATGTTATTTTATTCCATTATCTTAAAATAAAAAAAAATAAAAAGAATAAAAAACAAGCCCACCCAACATTCTTTCTTTTTTCGAAATAAACCCCACATTTTCAAAATTTAAACTCAAGGCACAAGCCAACCAAAACGCACGTAAATCTCAACCGAACGAACCAAACCAACAAACGACACTTAAATCCCCCCACCCCCACCACTCACTCACACTCACCACACACTTCTTCAACCCCCAAATTCCCACAGCCCACCGGCAACCGGCAACCGGAAACCGCCACAACCACCGCCACCCAACACACCTCCACTCCCCGACCCCCCAGCACCGGCTCCTCCGGTAACCGGTAAAACTCGCCGTCACCGCCGTCGCCATGTTCAGAGACGTCTCGACCTGCAATACGTACAACTATGGCGACGCCCTCTACTGGGATGCCCGCTACATCCAGGAGGGTGGCTCCTTTGACTGGTACCAGCGCTACTCCGCCCTCCGCCCCTTCGTCCGCAATTATATCCCTACCTCCTCCCGCGTCCTCATGGTCGGCTGCGGCAATGCCGGTAATTTCCCCTTTCCCCTTCTCTCTTTCTCCTCCTCCGACTTAGGGTTTCCGTGGTGAAGAATTGCGTTTGGAAATTGAGACGAATCGTGTTTGAATTTCGGCTGATTGGAAGAAAAAGAATGAAATTTGGATTGGAATTAGATTTTCCCAGCTTGGCGGTCAAGAAAATGGTATTTGATTGGATCATTAAAGGCTAAATGCATTTAATTAGGCGTTCTTGATTTAGCTTGAATTTCCCCTTTAAGAAAGATGGTTTTGACTTCTGATTGGTTTTCGCTTGTTATAAGATTTTCTTAGCTTGATGGTGAAGGAAACAGAAGAAATTGGATAATGAAGGACTAGGAGATTTTCTTGTTATTTGGCTAAATCCTGCGTTTAATTAGGTTTTCTTGATTTAGCTTGAATTTTCCCCCTCTTTTCAATTGGTTCTGATTGGTTGATTGAGAAAGCGTTGTGAAGGGAAAGAATTTGGATGCTTGTTAGTTGTTTGCAAAAATCCCTTTATCTTCATTGTTCCTACTAGAAGAGAAAAAGGGAAAAAAAACAACAGGAATTTTTTAAGGTTTTTTTTTTGTTGCTACACAAATGTGGAAGGTCGAAATGTTGACTCAATTTTGATGTTTTCACCCCC